TAAGTGAAGACAAGAAGGAAGACGGTTTGGGCAACAAGACCAGTGGCAGGAGACACCATGAGAAGATTACTGCTCTATCCCAAAGGCAAGAGCGGCATGGTAAGAGATGAGAGAGGGAATTAGAAAAGCACTAGATGGCTTTAAACCAGGGGTGGGGGTCAGAGAATGGGTGCCAGGAGGGAGTGTCATACCCCCAGGAGGGTATGACTGGATTACCATTTGGCTGCGATGAGAAAACAAGATTGAAAGGAATCCAAGTAGACCAAAGTAAACACAACTGTAGCCCAAGAAAGAGAGGACTTCATCTTAAATTTAAGTGATAGAAATGCAGATGGTCAGACAAAACTGGCAACACCTACCGATGGACTGGATAAGAGGGATGGGAGAGGGAGGTGTCATGGATATCTCTGGATCTCTGGCTTCCACCTCTGGAAAGGTGATGATGTCAGCACAGAGACCAGGAGTGCAAAAGACCAGGTGTACATGGAGAGGGGCAGATGGGGACCCACAATTCTCTCTCCTGCCTCCTGCATAGTCCACTGTCTCCTCTGTGCATGGCAAGGTTACTCAGCCTCCCATCTGGGGGTTCATTATCAGTGATGTGTCCTCATGTGTAAGATACTAGTTTACATGCTCAAGCTGACTGTGCAAGTCCCTCTACCTGGAATGTCCTTCCTCACTAGTTAATTCCTTCTCATCCTCTAAAACCCAGCTTAGCCTTCCTAGCCTGAGTGCTCTTTTACTTTTTTTTATGCTCAGGACAACTCAGTTTGAAATTTTCTATTTTGTGCTTTTGCACATCAGACTCTAAGCCTCAGAGGCCAACATAGTGCTTGACATACAGTTAATATCCCACAATCCTCTTTTGATTTACAGGTGGCGAGAAAACAGTGTATGTAGCAATGATGTCACTTCTTCAGAGTTACCTTCTGGATGAGTGCAAAGTGAGACTAGAACTCAGGTCTCCTTGCTCACAGGAGGAGTCCCTCCCAATACCTCACACTGTACTTTCTGTCTCTGGCTGCTACCCTCATGTCAGTTAGGGCTGGGATCATTGTCGCTCATTGTGCTCAGAGCTGCTCATTAGTCAAAGATGTGAAGGTAGCTTGAGTCATGATCTGGCAATCAAGAAAATGAGAATTGCAGGGGCGCCTGGGTGGCTCAGTCATTAAGCGTCTGCCTTTGGCTCAGGTCATGATCCCAGAGTCCTGGGATTGAGCCCCGCATCGGGCTCCCTGCTCGGCGGGGAGTCTGCTTCTCCCTCTCCCTCTGCCTCTCCCCACTGCTCCTACTCTCTCTCTCTCTCTCTGTATCTCTCTGTCTCAAATGAATAAATTAAAAAAAAAAAGAAAATGAGAATTGCAAATTGTAACTCTTTGATGAGACAGCAATTCTATTGTCAAATTATGGACCTTGTATCACATGGAGGGAGATTCTGTAAAAGTCTAAGATATTTGGCAAGTAAAAGGAAGGAAGCCATGTTTTTTGTTTGTTTTGTTTTGTTTTTTAGCAAATCATTTGCATCTCTGCTCTTGCAAAATCAGAACAGGAAGAAGAAAAACAATATTATTGTGATGGAGTCAGAGAGGTAGCTGCCAAATTCTTTCAAAGGATTCTGTTGAGGTTGCTTTTAGGCAACCAACGTGAACAATGGAAACACAGGTAAGGTAGAAGACCCCACAGCGACACCTTCCCCCCCAAATACAGACAGGCCTATTAGGCAACCCACCTCAAAATACCCATAAGCCCTAGCTGACCAATGGGTCAACTGACACCCAGACACCAAAAAAGAAAATTCCATATGTTCCCATTCGTCCTCACCTTCCTTCTTAACTACAGCCTCCACACTGCCTCCCGGCAGACAGTCTCTCCCCTGCTGTCCTGCCTGCCGCTCCCTGGCAGTGGGTTCAGTAGACTTCTATCCCTTTTGCTCTGTCTCAAGTCAATTCTTCCACCTCCCATGCTGCTGGCCTCCACCCAATTGGGTCACCCCACCTTTGGTGGCCCCCCAATCTGATCAGGAGACTTCCACAGTCTCCAAGGGGCATTGTTTCCTAGGGATGGAGAGATGTGGAGTTTTAAGGGGCCTGATCCATGGAAGGCACACTTTGAGGTCTGACTAGCACTCCCACAGGGACTGCAGAGGGGAGTTTCTCCTTGGCTTTTTGTTTGTTTGTTTGTTTGAAAACCCTAAACTTCTACACATTCTGCAGTTATGCATGCATGTAAGAGAGATCATTATACAATGGTGGATATTTGTCTTCCAAAGTATCAAAGTATAACTTTTACAAAGCTAAAAATGTAATTTTCATACAAATATATAGTGAGCATGTTAGGGATGTATTTAACTCATTAATAAGAAGATAGATAAGATGTCCAAGCTGGTTCAAAGGCAGATACAGGAAAGTGATGCCACTTTAGCTGGTGAAACTATAAAGAAAGAATGCTGGAATCAGATTGCTAAATTAGATACAAAATTAGTCAACAGACCAATAAAACCGCAACCTTCAGAGAGCTCTCTGCTAGATACAAATTATTTTCACTTCTTCTGGACAAAAATCATTTATTTGTACCCTGTCAGTTTTCTGCAAATTTTTTTTTTTTTTAAGGTTTTATTTATTTATTTGACAGAGTCACAGCGAGAGAGGGAACACAAGCAGGGGGAGTGGCAGAGGGAGAAGCAGGCTCCCCGCGGAGCAGGGAGCCCAACGTGGGGCTCGATCCCAGGACCTTGGGATCATGACCTGAGCCGAAGGCAGACGCTTAACGACTGAGCCACCCAGGCACCCCAATTTTCTGCATCTTAATACCTAACTTTACTGTGTCTAGGACCTACTCAATAAGCACTTAAAAATCAGGCAAAATTGCATTCCCATAGAGTCAGATAGGTCATGTTAGACATTGAAAAGATACATAGCTTTTGTGTTGCTTGGTTTCTAAGTTTTAGAAAAATTTTCATAATAAAAGGTTCACAGGAAGGAAAAATAATACATCCATCAGTATTCCAAGATACCCAAAGTATGCCTTGAGTGATTCGTTAAGTGGGGAACGGTAGGGGAGAGAAAAAGGAAAATGGATCCAGGCTCCAGATATGATTGTTTTTCAGTCTTCTGATTGTGGAGGCCAAAAAACAGTAAATCCTGCCTCGAGCCTTTTGACCTCAGGTGTCTTGCAGAGGGAGACTTGAATGAGGCCATTCTTCACATATTTCAGCTGCTAGGTAAGGTCAATAGTTTGTAAAGGCATTTCACCAGGTTGGCTGGTTCATTCCTTCATTGAATGTCACTTCATTCATTCATGTCCCAGGCACTGTGTTACGTGCTGGGGATACAGCCAAGAATAAAGAAGGAATTCACATTGTGATGGTGGCTAAGACAGGCAAGAGAAGAGTAAATAGATATACAGAATAGCAATGAGCTGTGAGAGAAGTACCAATAAAGGAAGTAAAGCTTATTCTGTGATGGAGAACAGCAAGTGGGGTTGGCTTTGAGTCGGCTGGTCACTGACACTTCTCTGGAGAGGCAGCATTTAAACAGAGATCTGACAGGTGCCAGAGAACGTGCCAACCATCAGTAGAGCCATGGAAGGGGTGTTTCGGGCATTGGCAATCATAAGTTGCACAAGCCATGAGGCTGAAAAAGGCCATGCGTGTTCCAGAACCTACCTGAAGTCCAGGGAGTTCGAGGTGGGAAACAAGGCAGAGAGCAACATAAGGAAAGACGGGAAAGGGGGATGGAGGCATGATCATGAAGGTCTCTGCAGGGCACGGTAGAAATTTTTTATTTTGTTCTAAAAACAACAGAAAGTTATTTAACAGTTTTGTGCAGTGGAGCAACTCAATTTTCATTTAAGATTACCAGTCTAGGGGCGCCTGGGTGGCTCAGTTGTTGGGCGTCTGCCTTCGGCTAGGGTCATGATCCCAGGGTCCTGGGATCGAGCCCCGCGTCGGGCTCCCTGCTCCGCAGGAAGCCTGCTTCTCCCTCTGCCACTCCCCCTGCTTGTGTTCCCTCTCACGCTGTGTCTCTCTCTGTCAAATATAATTTTTTAAAATGCAAAAAAAAGATTACCAGTCTAACTGCTATATGGAGAAAGGATTATGGAGGGTAAGTCTTAAAACAGGAAGACCATTTGGGAGTTCCCTGCAGTAAGATTACAATAAGGCCTAAAGCAACGTAATGACTGTAGAGATGATGGACCGTGGGTGGTCTTGAGATGATCTTGAAGGTAGCATTGTGGGCATTGCTGTTGAATGTGGACAATAAGAAGAGGAGGATTCAAGAATGACTCCCAGGCTTATGCGTGGTTAGCGAGATGGGTACCACAGAGGGCTGGAGCACGGGGGCAGGCAGAATTGAGATGATCGGGTTGGGAGCAATCAAGAATGCCACGGTGGACTTACTGAGTTTGCAAGTTTGGGTGGGCTCTGACACATTCAGGGTGAAATGGCAAGGAGGCATCAGGACATGAGTCTGGAGCACAAGGAAGAGGTCTGGGTTTGAAGAAGAAATTGAGAGTCTCAGCATGTAGAAGACATGTAAGTCTCTGAGAACAGATGACATTTCCAAGGGCAAAAGTACAGAGAGACAAGACAGCCCAGAGTTGAGGGGTATGTATTAATATGCAAGAGGTAAATAAACACTATAAAGAGTTCAACATTTCCATGTCCCTTTTAACTTTTACTGAAACCACGCAACCATTTCATGATTTAGTCTTTTTCACTGTGGAACATTCTAAGTCCCTGCTCTAAATCTGATTTGTGTGTTACTAGACAAAATGACTGCCAGGTGATTCCAATGATGTCTATCTCAGAAATGTTCTCCATCTCCCACTTGACAGCACAAAATTCCCAAGAAAATAATACAGAAATATCATTTTCCTTCTCAATAGGTTTCTAAACACCTTCCTGGTGCTCCCTTTCTTGTCCATCGAGAGCTGTCCTGTCAAGGAGGTAGTGAGTGTAAGAATACAGGTCAGAAGACTGGAGAGAAACTACCCCTTACCTCTTCTTCTTCAAGTAGAATGAGCCGAACCACAACAATGTGAATTGCATTGCCAATGCTTGGGTTGTGGAACAACCCAGTGACCTAGAGTCAGAAATGGAAAACCATTAGCTCACATGAATAGGTAACAGATAAATGCCAGAGGAGGGGGGAAATAGCATTGTGATGCACTTAAAATAAATGTCACCTTAGAGGTCAGGAATTCTGGGGAGAGTACAACGAAGAGTGAGAGATGCCCCCGGCCCAATCCACATTATGATACCTAAAGGCAACCTTTCCAAGGTGACTGGCTGGCTGTCTGCTTGCGGGACTGGTGCCTTTCTTCTCTTTGACCCTTTCCCCGACCCAGGGTCTTTCTCTCTTTTATTGTCAGTTCCGGAGGCAAATACCTTTCCCCATCTCGACAGGACTAACACTCTCTCTGGGGAGGCAGAAACATCAAGAATGAGAAAGGGAAATCTGGAATCAGGGGTCATTAACTTTATTCCAATTCTAACTACCTGTAGGAAATCATGTTCTAGTTCTTTGCCTCAGTTTACTTATCTGTGCACTAATATAAATTGGTGAGATAAACTCATACTAAAAGGACTGAGTCACTTGAGAAATACCTAGTAGAAAATACGTGATAAATTCCAAACTTCCCTAGGATATGCATTTTTAAGAGACAGACTAATTGGTCCTGAATTTCCATCCTTCCTCATTTAGGCAGGGAATAGATTCATATATACATGTGAAAAGAACAAAAAAGGTCTCTCTTATTTTTGGAGGGTGATGCCTATTCCCCAGCTGCCTCTCCCCACCCCACAGTCTGACTTACCATGTTCATGATGGTGAGGATATAGGACTCCACGCTGTCGCTCCCATGATACTCAATCATCTTCGTGTCGGCCACCACCAGCGTCTCCACCCATCGCTCTTTGCTGATGGAACGCCGAGACAGGCCTCTGCTGGGCCAGTGGTTCCTCTCCCACCTCTCTCGCTGTAGCTCCACCTTCTGGGAGGTGGCAAGACTGTCTAAACATTAAACAGAAGACACGGGGCTAACGCTATGTATCTCCATATACTACTCACCTATGTTTTAAAGATTCAAGGCCATAAGTTTAATTTATGTTTAACAATGTAGGAATGCAATGTTCTTTTTTTTTTTTAAGATTTTATTTATTTGACAGAGAGAGACAGAGAGCACAAGCAGAGTGGCAGGCAGAGGCGGAGGGAGAAGCATACTTCCCAAGGAGCAGGGACCCCGACGTGGGGCTCGATCCCAGGACCCTGGGTTCATGACCTGAGCCGAAGGCAGACGCTTAACTGACTGAGCCACCCAGGCGTCCCAGGAATACAATGTTCTTATATATATGCCTGAAATGGAAGAAGGGACCAATTTGAATGATTATGACCAAGATAACTGAAATCTGCATCTTACAGGGATTCAAAGTACTTCTTTGAAATAATTACTACCTATTTCATTAAATAGGTCCCTCACTATTAAGAAGATGTTATAATCAAAACTGGGAACTTTTTCTTTTCCTCCTCCTCCTCTAAATTATTCAGTGCCTACTATACGCCAAGCAGTGTACAGGGTTTTAAAACGCCAAGTTGTTTATCCTCATGAACATTTGAGGGACGTACTTCTATCTCTGTTTTGCACATGTGAAAATTAATGTTCAAAATGCCTGGTTCAATAATTTCCCCAAAGTCACACAGCTCATAATTTTATGGTCCAGAAGATCCAGGGTTTTCTATGCCCTAGAGTCATGCGGTTTTCATATATGCCACATTGTCTCCCACCGAGTAAACATGCATACAACTGGAGAACATGTAAGCTGGAAAAGCTGCATATACTTCTAGAAGGTATGAAGGTAGAGTCGATACATTAATTTGCTCTGTAACCCTTCCCGCTGCCTCAGTTTCACTGTCTATGTGAAGTCAGAACACACTGAGGAGTAGTTACCAAAAAAAAAAAAAAAGAGAGAGAGACATAATCATAAGTCTGTAATTTCAAATTCATTTATTATGAGCTTCACTTGAAAATAATAAAGCCATACTTTGGTAAAATAACCAGGATTATGTTAGCCTTGCAGGGAAGTCTTGTGAAGGTTTGCAGATGAGGAGATGGTTAACCCCTCATCTGTCTGTGGGAGAACAACGTTCTACTTTCCTTCTCCACCTGCTTTACACGGATAAGTATGCCTTCCCTCAGAAATCTCCAGAGATGTTTTCAACGGGTTCTAACTCTGCACCCCACTTATCCCCCCGTCTGTCACCCTCTTTTCAAAGCTCATGGGAACGCTTCAGACTATGTTTCCAAATCTCTCTGTGCAAGCCAGGGAGCAAGCCACACTTGAGCCCACATGGGGCCTGTGTCTGGGAAGGGGTGTTAGCAGACCAGGCCAAGCAGAGGAATCCTATCAACCCGCTTAGGTGTGATCTCCTTCTCTCAATCCCTCCTGTCCCTGCCGTGTGGGGGCAGACCTCCTCCAAGCTGCAGGAATGCACAGTGCTCTCCCTGAGCCCCCTCCCTTGGCCATGTAGGCTCGTCACCCACCCCCGCTCTCAGAGGCTTCGGCCGGCTCCCTACAGTTGGCACAGAGGGTGCGATATGCAGCCCGTTCATTAAGAGCAGGACCCCCGCCACAGGCTGCAGCTGTGGGTGCCACTCCGCTCAAGCCTCAGGTGCCTATGGTTAGGAGCTGGGGGGACACTGGTAGGATAAAGGTGACCTCTCTGCTTCTCCCAGTCCTTTCTTATCTCACGTCTCTGCCTTTACCCACCCCCCTCCACCTTTTATCTCAACATCGATCAGCAGAGTTTAAAGCAAAAAAACAAAAGATAGCTTTATAGCCCATCAAGTTATTTCCAGCAAACAGGCGAGTTCTCAGTAAATAAAAGGGCAGGTAGGAGGAAACGTGGAAATGAGAATGCAGTCCGGTGAAGACGTGTTCCAACAAGACCTAAGCTAAGCACTTGCTAAAGGCCAGATGCTCGTGCTAATGAAAATGTCATCAGGTTTCAGATAATTCCCAAGGTAGAGATGTCTCTTGTATCACGGATGGTGCCAGAAGCCTTGCAGCAGTGGTGGGATTCAATCTGGGCCCTGATGGGACCGAGCAGGAAAAGAGGATCGTATCTATCTAGGCCGACTTTGTGAGGTTCTCTTGACGTCATCCCAGACTTAACAGAAGAAACGCTTCTGTTCAAAAAATTTTAGGCTGTACAAGAAGTCAGCCCTACACATTTATCTCCAAGGCCTGGTGACAAAGCCAGACAGCTCCTCGGGGGCAGGTGAGATGCCAACAATTCTAGAAAGCTCCCCTGACCCTGCCACCCCTCCCAACACACACAGACTGTCTTAGTCTGCTCAGGCTGCCATAACAAAATACCATAGCTTAAACAAGAGAAAACTATTTTCTCACAGTCCCTGAAGCTGTAAGTCCAAGCTCAGATGGCAGCAAGTGCAGGCTCTGGCGAAGAGCTGGCCGGAAAACTGGCTCTCTTCCTGGCCGCGGATGGCCACCGTCCCACGATCTGCGAACATGGTTTTTCCTCACTGTGTGCATGTGGACAGATCTCTCTTTCGTCCTCTTCGTCTACGGCCACCCATCCTGTTGAATTAGGACCCCACCCTTATGACCTCATTTAACCTTAGTTACCTCCCCAAAGCCCTATGTCCATATACAGTCACCCAGGGAGTTAGGGTCTGCACAGAGGCAATTTGGGAGGACACAGCTCCGTCCATACACCACGCCACACACACTATTCAGAGATGCCTCTTCTGGGCTGGGATGGCTTCTGGGCAGGCCTCACACTGAGAGCTTCCCACACTGCTGTAGCTCCCTGCTCTTCAGGGGGCTTCCAGTGAGGCTGTGAGCACAGAAGGGCATCTCCTGTAGCTTTGTCCTGAGGGCCTAACACCATGTCTGGCAAACAGTGGCACCCAGTAAAGGCTTGATGCGTGGGTAAAGGAAAAACTGAAGATGAATCAGACACAATTTAGGAATCACAAATACAGGAAAACTGCAAGCGCTCTCTACTTTTCCCTCTGGGATGACTCATTTCAATTAAAGAATTCTCCACACTGAGACTGTGAAGTGTTTGTTTTAGGGGGCGAAATCTAGCCACGTGGGCAGTTTACATCAGGACAATTTCCAGTCCTGACCCAGGGCGGACTCTTCCCAGGCCTGAAGCTAGAGAAGGGCAGCTCTCTGTGCTAACAGAGCCAAGGGCCTACGGATCTCTGCAAAATACAAACGATGGACTTCTTTTTCCCTTCCGCAAACCCCGCATGCTTTAGGCAGCTCTTCACGGAGCTCTCTCTCATTTAGAGCTTTCCGGGGTAGCAGAGCTTTTACCTGCGGCCCATCTCTCAGCCTTCCGGGGGGGCCAGGTCGTCTGCAGACAGGGAGGAAGCATGGCTGGAGCCAGGGGCTTGGAGGAGGCTCAAGGATGACCAGGGAACAAGGCAAGTGAACACAGAGGGGAGAAGACCCAGGAAATGATACCTGGACTCTAAGGGATGTTTTCAGCGTGCCAGGAGCTTCTAGCCCGGACAATGAAGCCACGTCTCCACTGAGGTACGTGCTCAAGGCTCTGCCTCTGTCCCTAACTCAGCTGTTCCCTCACCTCGATTCTCTTCCGCTGCCTCATGCACAGATTTCTCATAGAGAGGGGGGATGTCTGCCTGGCCTATAAAGCGTTACTTACCACTAACTGCAAACGGGCCATTAACGGCACCTACTGCCAGATTTGAGGCCCAGCTGCCCCCACGAAGATCCTCTCAGGTTAACCTTCTCCAGGCCACACCCTACAGCTTCTAGACAAATGAGACCCAGGGCCCTGACTGCCCCCTTCCCACCACCAGCCTGGGTGAGGTTCCTGAAACAAAGCTCAGCAGCAACACGATCACTGACAGCCACCGCCTAACAAGAGGCTGGCCTGTGATAAGCACTTTTATTTGATCCTTTATTAGTTAGTTCTCAATAACTTTATAAGTCTTATTATTGCCATTTTAAAATAAGAAATAGGAAATTCAGAGAGGTTACAAAATTTGTTTAAACTCTCTAAGCCAATAAGCAGCAGCCCTGCATTTAAAACAAAAAATTGTTTTTTAAAGATTTATTTGAGAAAGAGAGCACGCACATGTGCACATGCAGGAAAGGGATGGAGGGACAGAGGGAGATGGAGAAAGAGAATCCCAAGCAGACTCCACGCTAAGTGCAGAGTCCCACACAGGGCTCAATCCTAGGACCTTGAGATCAGTACGTGAGCCAGAATCAAGAGTAAGATGCTTAACCAACTGAGCCACCCAGGCACCCCAGCAGACCAGCATTTTAGATGAGTCAGTCTGAATGTCATTTAGATTGGTGGTGTGGAGATAGGGGTGGGGGTCCTGAGAAACCTCTGGCTGGAAACTGCAATGTGGGGAGTAGAAAGGATTAGCTCAAGACGGTCATCCTAGGGGCACCTGGGTGGTTCAGTCATTAAGCGTCTGCCTTCAGCTCAGGTCATGATCCCAGGGTCCTGGGATGGAGCCCTGCATCGGGCTCCCTGCTCGCTGTGAGGCCTGCTTTTCCCTCTCTCACTCCCCCTGCTTATGTTCCCTCTCTCACTGTCTCTCTCTCTCTCTGTCAAAATAAATAAATAAAATCTTTAAAAAAAAAAAAAAAGACGGTCATCCTAGGGGAAAAGGTGGACCAGACACCAGCTGACCCCAAAGCTCCAAGTCCCTACCAGTCCTAAGCAAAGCTCGAAGGAAATTTGTGTAGGAGAAGCTCAACAGGTAATTCGTGACTTTTTGCTACTGGCTTTCTGGAAACAATGTCTCACTTCTCTTGTACAGTCCAGACATAACCTACTGAGAGAAGATGTCCTGGACCCAGATGTGGTGGCTGGAGAAATGGCACCAGGAAAAAGGAAGGACATTTTAAGTCTGATAGGACCTAGAAAGCTTCTATTCAGGCCCACCATTGACAACTGTTCACTCCCCGACACCATGGGCCTGGACTGAACCACTCCTGTAC